CGTTTATACAACTTCAGTGTGTAAACACTCGCGTATCTATAGGCGCATTCACACTGCGGTACTTTTCCCACAAAGGTTCATGTGAACTCTTTAGTTCTCATGAACTAAGTACAGATCGCGTTCACACTGGAAAAAGTCCCTGGGGGTGGATTAGGCAAATGAAGCCGCTGACGTCACTTGTTCTTCTTCTGCTTTGGGTTTACTGGCAGGCCGCAAACCACTTCACGGCGTATACTGCCGCCCAAAGTCCCCGGCCGGAAGTCCCCGGAGTTAGGGACTGGCTTCTACTGCAGCCTTCCGAGTAAATCGCCAGAACGCCGACACCTCCTCATCTCCAACACTCCCATGTTTTATTTTGTGTTGCCATAAGTTAGTCTCTCTGCGTTTCTGCGCTGGGCTAATGCTAATGCTAATGCGAGGATAATAAAATGGCGGCTTCACAAAACTTTTTGGGAGTTTTGCGGGGCGTGGTTTGCAATCCTTCCAGCCAATCAGAAATGTAGCTCTTTTCTCACAAAAGAGCCGCTCGAAAGTCCCTGCTCTCTAGCAGGGACTTTCGTGGGGGTAAAAAGGTTCACATTAACTAATTTTAGTACCGGCTCTTTTTGGTGTGAACGCGATAAAAGAGTTCACATGAACTAAATTCACATGAACCTTTGTGGGAAAAGTACCGCAGTGTGAATGCGCCTATTGATGAGAGTAGTAGGCTACCCATAGAGGGCGGAGCCTGAGTGAGATAGAACTGCAACACAGCGGCAACTCTCTTTATTTGCTGTAGTTTAGTAGATATCTACAAATAAGAGTCGATATTTTTCTAAGACCATTTAGTGCTTCACATAATAAAATAGAGAACGGCTGTTAGGCTGTTAGCTGTAGGTGCGTGTGTGTGGTAGCCTACAGTGTGTAGGTGTGTGTGTGGTACAGTGTGTGCGTAGATGCGGCAGACTAGGTCTCAGTTGGTTTGGTGTCCTCTGCTTACTACTTGTAAATAAAACTATTGGCCCGTAATTTATTTTCCTCATTGTAGCGACCAGAGAGGGGGGGGGATATATCCAGTCTCTGATTGTGTTACGTTATTATGAGAGTGCTCTGTTTGATTCTAAAATTGTATATATAAATATATACATATATATATATAGGCTATGTGTGTGTGTGTCCGCATCTGTAGCCTGTTGTTATTGTCTCATTATACCGCACTGTGAATTAATTAAAAGTAAATATATAAGTGGTCATGAACACATCTGTCCATCAGACAGAGGGCTGCCTCCTGTCATCATTAATGGACGTCTCTTTAAAATGACCACTCAGAGGAGAGGAGTTCTCATTTCTATAACCGCCTGCTGCTTCCCCTCCTCTCTCCTCGGTTCCCCTCCTCGGCTCCTCCGCTCGCATCTCCTGTGGGCGGGACTAAGTCTCGAGGATAGGAGTCGAGGAGGGGAGTTAGAGAAATGAGAAAGGGCCAAAGAGGGGTCCAGGGCAGGGAAACTCTTACAAATAATTTGATGGGAGTGCTTACTGCCTGGAAAATAAACACACGCGCACTCTCCTTTGGCCCTATTTGGACTGTCGCCCCTTCCGTCAGCCACACAAACAATCGACTACACAATGATCCAGTGTGCACCCACTCAGACATCCAGCTAACCCTGGAGGAGAGAAACAAACCAGGGGGAGGAGACTGCCCCTTGATCTTTACCCCGCTACCAATCTGCCCACTCTGGTGCGGCAATAAGATTAAGATTAAGATGGATTTGTATTAATCCCTCGTGGGGAAATTGTTTCTCTGCATTTGACCCATCCTAGTGTTAGGAGCAGTGTGCTGCCATTTTGAACGGCGCCCGGGGAGCAGTGTGGGGAACAAATCACATGACTTTCTTGTTAGGATTCCAGTAAGAGATGGTAGAAATGTGGATTTGTTTTAAATAGAAGATAGATCTGAGATGCTGTGTGGTTTTAATCCCCTTGTTTTAGTATATCTGCAGCGTTAATGCTTATATTAAAGCAAAATCAACTTATTACATCTGCTTTGATATGGCCATATCCAGTGGCGTTTCTATATGTGCAAAAGTGGTGGGGCACAAAAAACTTAGATGTCTATATATAAGCTACTGCAGAGAGGTTCATGGCTGGCGAGGCACTGGCACTGACTCTTCAGGTTTACAAATATTATATTTTGACCTAAATCAAAATATAATATTATTTTCAAAAGCTTTTTTGTCTGAAGCTTCAATTAATTTGAACTGACAGTTCAACAGAAGGATACCCAAAAAATGTAATTTTATCATTTAAATATTGAATTGTTCTCTCTTAGTAAGATCCCATTTTCAATAAAATTGTGGTCTTACCTTGACTTGAAGATGAAGTCCATTTGCCTGTCCTTCTGGACAAAAATCTCTATTACTTTTTTACTATCATATGATAAACTAATCGATAGATTTATGATTCGAAAATGATAAAAGTAGGATATTATCTGGCTGAACAAAACGTGCATTTATCTAACAGGTACTTTTCCCACAGATCTTATTTTGAGCTATTTTCTAAAATCCTATGGAGAAATGTCATTGCTTTTTTGTGGAGGGAAGCCATGCGCAGCTTACTTCCCGGTTTTAGGACGCGTCTCTCTCCTCCTCTTCACACACCACACTTTTCGCGGCACACGTACTTACAGCCAATCAGCTCTGAATTATGTGAGTTGACGTATGGTGGGGATGGCAGCTCTATACCCCTATGGTCATTATTTTTTGCCACACACATTAAATAGGAAAATACTCTGAGCATGCGTAGTATAGTTTTTCCAGTCACCGTTCACTTAGACAGTGAGAGGGAGGGGCAGGATCGGGTTTTGTGCCACATGGCTCTAAACAGCTCAATAGGCACACACTGTAGACACTAATTAGAAGATCACATACTAAAACAGCAATGTACAGACGAATCAGATGATTAAACATGATCTTAAAATATATTTTATATATATTTTAATTGACTTTTTGCATTTTGTTGTAATCATTATTGCAATACTTTCTGCTGACAAGGCTGTGCCCCACCTGCCCCTAATGACCAGTCGCCACTGGCCATATCATTAAACTTATTAAAATGGTCAGATATAGTTGAATTTCAAATCGCCCAATTAATGTTTAAAGCAAAAAACATAAAGAAAAATCAACTCCCAGGTAATATTCAAAAACATTTCACTAAAAGACAAGGGCATTATAACTTAAGGGGATTATTCCAATTCACACATGTTAGGGTGCGCACAACCAAGCAAGGTTTTTGTATTTCTGTTTGTGGGGTGAAGCTCTGGAACAGTTTAAACGAGGAGCTCAAGGGATGTCTGAACTGAAAACTGTTTTAAAAAAGGTATAAGGACATGATTTTAACAAGATATAGGGAAGACGCTTTTTAATTATAACTGGGTGTTTGCAGTTTATTTATTTATTTGGTTTGTTATTTTATCTGTTCTTGAATATCATTTACCTCTGTAATGTATTTGTTAGTTTCTTTGTTTGTTTATTTATCTGCTTATTTTTCTATTTAGTTGTTGTGTAAACTTCTTCCCACCCCTTTTCGGATGTGTAATTAAGTAGAGTAATATTTTTGTATATCAATTTGACACTGCTTATTTTTTGTATTTTATAATGATTCTCATGTTAATTTTTTTATTATTGTTTTACATATTCGAAACAAATCTGATCAAATCAAATCAAATACTACAATGTGGCATTGCTGCAGACATAACACAGGGCTGGCGGTTTGTAATAACAATTAAATATTTTCAGTGACAGTTGAGATTGAGTCACACATCAAGGCTTCAGGTATAGCTACAATGAGCGCTAAACCACAAACACATACCTAAATGTGAACATGAATCTGTTTGGCCAGACTTGACACTTTGATATGTTGAGTATTCGTCTCATCACACTTCAAAGGCTTTTTCTGTTTAGTGGATATGAACGACACTTTGCAATCATTCACAACATCTCACAGAGAAGTGTGACAAGTGGTCAGAAATGTACCTGTGTGACAGAATAATTTGTTTTTCTGATTAAACTTTTTTACAATAAAAAAAAACATGATATGTAGCTCTTCTCAAATCTTCTCTACTAATGCAACACTTTTAATTCTCCCTTAAATAAAGTAGATTATCAAAACTAAGCCGTGTTTGGTAACATCAGCCACTACAGGCCTATTCGGGGGAGCTGCTGAACACAATCCGGTTTCCCTCACTGGGGCTTAAATCTGTGTGTGTGGCAGAGACGTTGATCCATGTGGCGTCTACCAAGAGATTTTCACCTGCTCAGGCCCAGAGGGGATCTGTGGTTACTGAGTCAACCGATCATCTTCATTTTCACAGCACAGAAGATGCCAACAATGTTGTTACGTCTTGTGTGTAAGCTGCTGTAAGCACCATTGTTATATTTACGGGAGGGTTGTCACCTTTATTTGCTTTCTAGGTTTATCAATTTCTCTTATATTTAGCAAGTGGTGGAAGAAGTATTCCAATAATGTATTTCAAAGTTACAATGCTCAGTATAGAAATACTTAAAGTAATTTGTTCAAAATTCCACTTCAGTGATCCTGAACTAGACGTAATAGCAACAAAATGTATCCAAAGTACTCATAATGCAGTGGCTACTGTCAGTGTTATGCAAGTAAAGCGTTGGCTCATAAATATTGATATATCAATAGGCACTTTAATAAGGTCATTATTCAAGGTGGCACACATTAACTTAAAACGCCTTATCGCCTTATGTACCCAACGGCAGGAAGGGATTTAATCTGGATATCTAAAATCTAGTAAAAAGTAATCACCAAATAAATGTGAAAAAATACTTGGTCAGTAGTCCTAGTTTAGAGACCTCTCTTTACCCACAACAATATCTCCCTCTAGTGGAGAATATTTTAAAATAGCATCACCATTCTCTTCTGTAAAGTAAAATATGTTCCTGAAACGCTGTGATTGAGTGTTTCCGTATGCATAGGTCATTAATGAGAAGCAAAGGTAGTGACAGGGTTAAAATGTTTTACTGTAGTGCTACAGTACGCAACAGGTATGAATGAAAACATTGGGCAACATTATGTTCTCTGTGGTATTGTTCCGTATGACAAACATATCTGGCATGTAGAATCCCCACAACATGGCAGTAGAGTAGAAAACAGAATCAAGAATGAAAAGAACAAAGAAATTAAAAGGTGTAAAGCATTCAAAGAGTCGACTTCCTTCTTGTGCTCTCCGATTCTCTCCCATTGGGTCTATCAGTACTGGCAATGGAGACTGAAATGTAAGGGTTTAAAAACCAGTAAAAACCAGGATCACAGATCTGGCTTTGTATAGCACAACTGTAATGGCTTACTCGCACACATGTGCTCCCTCACACTGACACATACACACATACATACAGACATGACAAACCCACACCCTGGGAGAGCGATTGTCACCCTTGGCCTCCGTCCTCCAAGCTGAATTAGATTAGGAAAGTCAAGGTTAATCACCCAATAAATACATTCTGAAATCTCTTTTTAAACACGGTCCTTGAGACAAATATATACAAATTGATTAAAAAGAAAAAACAAACAACAAAGTGTTTACATCTTAAAACAGTCACTTGAACGTGGTGTGGACCAAGATGCACACAAAATCCTTCCATTAGGCCGAAATATTACATTTTATTTCTTGTGTTTTCACGCATTCCTTCCATCATCACTCTACTCTTCGATGTGACTGATTGTATACACACTAGTGTCATGGTCTAGACCAAAAACAGTGCTATGCTATTATCACTCTTTACTACAGGCACACAAATACAAAGACACTATGTGACTCTCTGCCATGCCTCATTCCCAGTAGTGTCCTTCCTATGTGTCACTACAAACACACACAGTGCTTCCTGTAAACAAGTACTCTTTGTCCTTTCGGATTATAAATACTGTTTTGGTAAAATCATCATTAAAAGACGAGACGGAGTGTATTTGAGCTTACATCCATACAAAACACACAGAATTGCACTGTTGGAAGATATTCCTTCTCCGTTTAGTTATGTTTTTCTTTTTTTTGGCTTCAGCGTTAAGGCCCAAATCTGGAGTGGAAGGGGCTTATCTGCCTACTGTACTGTAGGTAGGAACAACACACATACAGGCACACTGACAGATAAACAGTATTGCAGGGCAATATAAAAAGATACTAAGGAATGGTGAAACATCCTCTTTGTCATTTTGCAAAATCATTCTTTATCATACATGTCATCTTTATTTTAATCAAAAATCTTTACAGCCGTGCTCTCTCATCCCTCCTTTCCTGTCCAAAGTGCGTGGGTGCCGGTGCTGTTTCAGTCTGGCTACACCAGGGGGTGCTGTTCCTCTCTCAGATGACTGACAGGCGGTGGCTGTGGCTGTGTTTATTGCTTTAGTGTCCATGCTCCTCCCCTCTCAGAGGAAACTAAAGGGGACAAAGTTGCTCTCCAATCACTGATCTGAGGTCTCTGCCGTCATCTGCTGATTGGAGTCTGTGCTTTTTTTTTTTTGGTGGGATCTGATGCCAGATCAGTGCTGGAGGGAAACCTGTCCCTGAAGAGTGGGCTCAGGTGAAGACGTAGTTGAGGAGGAGCTGTGAGAGGAGCAGGACACAGAGGACGAGACAGTGACGGCCCGTTAGCGACACACCGTCATCCGTCGCCCTCTGACGAGTCAACTGACGGCTCAGAGCCACCAGGTTCCTACGGGGGGGGTGAACACAGGTTAGAACATGCTTAGCAGGAACTAAGCCTACACAATAGGCGCGTTCACACCAAGTACTTTTCCCACAAAGGTTCCTGAGAACTACGATTTAGTTGCGTTCACACCAAAAAGTCCCAGGAACTAAATTAGTTCTCGAGAACCTTTTTTACCCCCTTTTCAGTCCCTGCTAGAGAGCAGGGACTTTCGTGGGAGAAAAAGGTTCCTGTGTCTGATTGGCTGGGCGGAATGCAAACCACGCCCCGTCAAACTCCCAAAAACGTTTGTGAAGCCGCCATTTTATTATCCTCGCATTGCATTCGATTGCATTATTAGCATTAGCATTAGCCCAGCGCAGAAACGCAGAGCAGTGGTTGCGTTAGACTTTTTCGTTGTCCGTCATTTTGACGGACAGGATCGTAAAATTTCCGTCATAATCCATTATTACCCGTCATTTTATTTTTCATGTTTTAATGATGAGATGAGACATATTTAATATTTATGTTTGGGTACTGAGCAGCAAATGTTCATTCATTCATTTTTTTTTATGATTCATACAGAACTTTTAAGGGCATGGAGAAAAAAAAAGATGAACAGAGACACCGACCGTGTGGTCACTTTTCATGTCAACACGAACATGAATGATTTATTTGTTCCTGCACTGACAGCAGAGGCCGCTAAAAACACCGCGACCATTGTGCCTAAACAGGCAAATATGAACAATGCCATCGTTTTAAATGAGACAATTACAATCAAAAATATGAACAAAACATTTACAAGAACAACTCAATTGATCTGCTGTAGCCTAGCCTGAACGCTGATTTCTGCATCGCCGTGCACCCTCGGACAAATCCGTTACTCATCTTAGCTTTTCTACAGATGTCGCAGAACATTTTGCCATCTTCCCTCCTCCGCCACTTAAACTCTTGTTCCCACTGAATCCGGTACTCCCGCTTGAACTCCTTGCCACTTGCTTGCCCCTCTGCCGCTGGCTGAACGTTGTCAGTTTTAGTCTTACTGGTATGTCCTTCATCCTCCACCGCATCAATCCCTCTTTTTTCACCTCGTTTATCCACACCATCACAATTACTGGGCTTATTAAAAAAGCTTCGGACGATCAGCTGCCGTGACATTTTGCGATTGCTAAAGCCGGTTAAACAACGAGGTAATCAACGAGATCAAAAACAAGACTAGAGAATAGCTACTTAATATACACACACTCGCCATCAACTGGACAGGGGTGTGAATGACTAAATAATAGTTACAGACTACAGTAGAGTACAGTAGATCGCCCTCAGTCGACCTGGCCACTAAGGATGTAATATAATGTGGGCCGCTGGTGGACATTTTGGCGCTGTTTCGAGTTGTGTTCTAATCTGTCAAAATGACGGACTGCTTTCAGATTTTTGCTTTCAGACGGAAAATATTCGGTTAACGCGACCATGACGCAGAGAGACTAACTTATGACAACACAAAATAAAACATGGGAGCGGTGGAGATGAGGAGGTGTCGGCGTTCTGGCGATTTACTCGGAAGGCTTCAGTAGAAGCTGCTGGGAGTAGCAGCTTCTACTGAAGCCAGTCCCCAACTCCGGGGACTTCCGGCCGGGGACTTTGGGCGGCAGTATACGGCGTGAAGTGGTTTGCGGCCTGCCAGTAAGCCCAAAGCAGAAGAAGAAGAAGAAGTGACGTCAGCGGCTTCATTTGCCTAATCCTCCCCCAGGGACTAATTTCCGGTGTGAACGCGATCTGTACTTAGTTCATGAGAACTAAAGAGTTCTCAGGAACCTTTGTGGGAAAAGTACTTGGTGTGAACGCGCCTAATGTTAAATCAATATGAAATATGTTGAAAACAACCCTAAGAATTAATCTTATTTAGAGTTGTGCATTTTTTATTATTATTATATTTTATAATTATGGGTATTTAATTACAGATGCACTGACACCATTTTCTATTCAACCAATGATCGAAGCAAAAGTTGGAGTTTCCAGTTCTGCTTTTAAATAAAAAAACGGAAAATTGCTTTTATCCAACAAAAAAAGCAATACATCACATTATGCTACGCCCTACATGTGTGTGTGCAGGTCAGTGTGTGTCATTTTCACCTCTGGATGTCCTGCTGTGTCTTCTGTATGGATGTGATGGAAGCCTCTATCAAGGCGATGTCCTTCACCTCTTTATTGCACCGTGCACACTGGTTTGAGAATCCTGAGGAACATGACAGGCGAGAACATGAGACTTGTGCAGCTCGATATAAGACTGTTAGTTTCGATTGTGTGCGTTTGCCTCACCTTCGTTGTCCGAGGACTCGTGTGTGGGTTCTGGTGTGGTGCTGCTGCTCTCCGTGTTCTGGCTGCAGCTGGACGGCTGGCTGCTGGCCTTCCTTCGTTTCCCATTCATCTCGGCCTGGGAGGAAGCAGAATAGATACGTTTTAGTTGTGTGCGCAAGAAGTACGAAAAAAAGAGGCTCCTCATGCCTGTCAGTGATTTTGAAGCAACTAAATACTGGGTACAGTCTGGCTTGAGAGTGTGATGGAAACGTCTGAAGCAATGGAGACGAAACTCAGAGAGACACGAGGAGAGCAGGAACTTTGATGGCAAACACTGATGATTTATTTGGAGCTTTGGCCGGAGAATTCACAAGACATGTGCTGTGCCACGAGCTGACACAGCGGTTGCCAAACCAATTCTGAAGATCTCTACCCCAGACCCATGCATTTAGCTAGTTCTGAGAGAAGAATCAACATTGTGCATAACAAGATAAAACCATAACACTAGGGCTGTGCAATTAATCGTATTTTAATCGCGATTACGATTATGGCTTGCGACGATTATGAAAACAGCATAATTGACAAAATACGATTATTTTGCTGGGTGCGCTTCACCCCTCCCTAAAAGCCCACTCGGCCACGTGGGAGTGATATGTGTTGTGAGTGTTCAGCGCAAGCGCAGATGTCAGAACAAGAGCAGCAACTCGTTAAAAAGAAGGGTACAACTATTTCCACTATTTGGAAGTACTTTGGCTTTCAGGAGTCCGACGTGGAGCAAAACAAAGTACAGTGCAGGATTTGTTACCAGGTTGTGTTGGCACCACACACTAACACAACCAATCTCTTTAATCATCTGAAATACAACCACAAAGTGCAATACGACCGGGCAATAATACAACAAAAAGCAGATGCCGCTCGACTTCATTCACAACATCATCACAGTCATCGATTCAGGACGCATTGTACAGAGCAACGGCCTACGCGACGAGCTCGCAGAGACACAGAGATATTACAGGTGCCATTACATTTCACATTGCTAAAGATATGTGCCCAGTTAGCACTGTTAGCAACCAGGGCTTTAAGCAACTTGTCAACACGTTGGACAAGCGTTACGCGATGCCGTCTCGGTATTATTTCAGCAGGTCTGCGCTGCCTGCGCTATGTGACAAATGCCGTGGGGAAGTTGAGAGAGATGTGGCTTCAGCTGACTACTTTGCCACCACAACATACCTATGGTCTAGCCCAGGGGTGCCCAACCAGTCGATCGCGAGATGTGTCTAAAAATAGAACAACAATATTCTGTTTTATCGTTAATGTCCTGTAACATAATCTTCCTGTGCCAGAATAATGCACTTGAACGCATCAAAGCTTTGTGATTGGCCGGCGTCACCCCATGTGTCGGGGCGTGGCTGAGGGTCTTCAGTACAGGTGGCAATATTGTCACCTGCCTGCGCTCATCTCTGAAACCAGACCATGTAAACAGGCTGGTGTTTCTTGCGAACAATCTTTAAGAGATGACATGAGCAGCCCTACCAGCATTTGCCATGGTGGCCAAAACATTTTTATTTGGTCTTAAATTGTAGTTCAACATTTATTTCCTGTTACTTCTGGACCATGACGGTTGGCCAGCCTTCAACGTTTAACTGAGTGGAATATGTTGAATATGTTTTACCAAAAATGTTGGCTATATGTTAAGGAGTTTTCAGTAGGTTGTGACAGTGCACTGCAACATGTTTGATTTCATTTATTTTGGTCTAATTTATTTTTATTTATCATATTAATATATGTTTAGTATGGTTTTGGAAGTGCGCTCCAACATATTTGTTGATCTTGTTTATTGGTAAAATATTATTTGTTTTAAAGTTCAATAAATGGTCAATGAATAATCGTCAAAATAATCGTGATATCAATTATTGACCCAAATAATCGTGATTATGATTTTTGCCATAATCGCACAGCCCTACATAACACCTCTATCAGCTGACGCCAACAGGCAGGAACAGGGAGACAAAACACTGAGAGGGCAGCTGTGCTCAGTGAGGGGAGTACAAACTGATAAACTGGGTCAAAGTTATGGGCCTAGGAAAATATTTCCCCAACAGAGAGGAACAGTACGGACTTCCTTTTGGTGAAATGTCAATGACACATCAATAATAGATCAACACAGCCCTGGCATGAAGGTGAGCGATTGTTCCGACTGACCTTCTGCTGGCTGGCCCAGCTGTGGCTGTAGGAGAGGCCGTTGTGTTGCCTCTGGCTCCTCTCGTGCGTCTGAACCACTCCGTCCTTCTCAAACTGAACCAAACAGCGCTCAGGGTCCCACGGCCGAGTGCTGCCAAATATACAAAATAAAATAAGATTTGGATTCAGTCTAATTTAAATGTTATTATTTCCATGTTCTTAATCTACAGCTCAAACAATATACTGACCAAAAATCTAGGCTAAAAAAATGAAAAACAGTGAGTGCCATCTCCTGTGTTTTATTTGCTTTCTGTGAGTGTGTTCATACTCCATGTGCCTGTAGGTCCACTCGGAGGTGACGGGGTCCTGATGGAAAAGTCTGGAGGTGGAGGGCTTGTCTCCTCTCTCCCTGGCCTCGGTCCGCTGAGCTTCCTCCAGCACAAACTTCTCCTGGGTGGCCCGCAGCTGGTCCCGGTCCATGATGGCGCTGGTCACATGCTGCCACAGTCTGCCGGAGCATATTGAAAAGACATGAGCACACTGACGTATATTGGAACAGTAATGGAATGTTACTAAGTACATTAACTCAAGTACTATACTTCAGTACACGTCTGAGGTACTTGTGCTTTACTTATGTCATTCATCTTAATCCTTTGAATTTATAACATTTCAGAGGGAATTATCGTACTTTTACTATACTACAGTGATTCAACATTAAGTAACGGAAAAAAAGAAGAAGAAAATATGATATAAAATTGGCTCCAAATTTCCAAACCACTACAACAAAATCCTCCAATATATATTCATTGGTGATATTTCAAAAATGTATATGATATTTTGGATAAAAATGTCTTTCTGCATAATGAGTTATTTTACTTTTGGTACTTTAAAGTACATAGTGCTGTTAATTCGTCTGAACTTTTACTTCAGTAACATTTTGTATGTGGGATTTTTACTTGTAAAAGAGTATATATAGACTGTGGAATGTCTACTTTTAAGTGAAGGACCACCACTGTATTTTACATTTAAGTGCTTTTTTAAGTGAGTAGCAGTGTTGTAGTATTTTTTATTTTACCTTGTCAAGCACAGATGTGGCTGCATGTTATCTATTTAGGTGTGCCAGCTCCAGAGCACTGGCATTGTGCATAAGAACTCACTGACACACCTGATGGGATGCCACTGTCTGACATAAGAATTGACTTGAGATAAAAGCACGTGCTGTTTACCTTTCAGACTCGAACTCTCCCTGCTGCTCTATTTGGACCACTTGTCTCTTGAGGCGGCTGCTGCGAATGTCTGAGCTCGGGTTCCACAACGTCTCCTGCTGGCCCGAGCGCTTCTCGTTGATGAACACCTCACCGTCCTGAATAAAGCAAAGAAAACCCAATGTTCAGTCCTATCCCATGGGGAAATCCAGAACATATTTATTGTTTTTTATTATCAATTTAACTAATAGAGTGGTGCAGGGATGACGTATTTTTGTAGGCCGACCCAGAAGTAAGTTGCGCATGGGTTCCCTCGACAAAAAATCAATGGGATTTCTCCATAGGATTTTGGAATATTGTAAAGAATAAGATCTGTGGAAAACGAACCTGTTTGATAAATGAACGTTTTGTTCAGCCGGATAATCTCCACGTATGTATGTACAATATAATTTTCGAATCATAAATCTAATCGATAGATTTATAATTAGAAAATTATAAAAGTACAGACATGTGGAGATTATCCGGCTGAACAAAACGTGCTTGCTTTTTTGTCCAGGGAACCCATGCGCAGCTTACTTCCGGGTCGGCCTACAAAAATATGTCATCCCTGCACCACTCTATTGTAAAAAGATGAAATTCATTTTCAAACTATACAACGCGTTCTTACTTATTCCTGCAGCCCCCTGTGGACTCCTCTTACTACCAGTTATTCTGCCTCTGTTTACAACAGAGAATCACTAAATACTGAGTTGCAGCGAGTAAGTGGCAGAGAAGGATGCTGAAAGATTCACTTAAAAAGGGAGATTGAGATTGGAGGTGGGGATTAGAGTGCTAAAACCTGGATAAAAGCTCTCACCCAGTGTCCATCCACGGTGGCCAGTTGCTCCTCTCCCACACAGATCTTCCCGCTGATCTGATTGACAGAGCAGGCGCCTCCAAGGAAAGGCTGCAGTCAAAGTGTGAACATCTTTACTGAAAATGCTGTTATCGCATAATGCAGAGTATGTATAAATATATAAGAAAAAAAACGTACCTTGAGTTTGAATTCCAGCTCTGTGAAACATTTGGTTTTCTCACACTCGATGGTGACCTTGCCACCGAGCTCTAGCGTCATAGTGCCGTACAGAATACCTACAGGAGGACAGATACAGTGCGACAGATCAGTAAACACAACATAGATGAGAACAACTACATCCTGTTGGCAGTCAAAAGATCAGTAACATTGCCTGTGTCAAATAATTTATGATCTAGGTACGGTAGTGAGTGGCCGGACTGTAACACAAGATAAAGACTGTAATTTACAACATGACCGTATCCACTCGGTGAATAAATGGACACCCGACCCGGCTTAGATTGCACTCAGCATCCATCTCTAATGTTGGCTGTCTGCCACGTGAGAGTTCATGTTCAGAGCGGAGTGCTATTGATTTCCAGTAGCTCAGACACATTAGGCTACAACAGATGGCTGCAAAAGTTACAGCCCACACATGATTTGTCACAGAACACAGAAGCCATCGCATCCATGAAAGAACAGTTATTATTTTTAAGAAAATCGTCTGTATTTTCTATCCCTGACCTTATTTTTGTAAGACTTTCTGTCTAAGTGACTAATGGGGAAAACAATTTTTGAATTGTGTCCGGTATTCATCGAGAGTGCTTTTGAAGTTAGCCGCAAAACGGGCTGTAATGTAATCTTTGGGTCAATTCTGCATAAACTAAAAATAGCTTTTTTTGCAGGCTCGGATTTGTCTTATTAGATGTCAGACAAAATTATAAAAAAGGACCCTAGTGAGAAATTCAACATTTTTCTTTACAAATATTAGTCAAACGGACAGTGAAGGTGACTGTTACATGTTGAATAACTACACATTTTGATTGTTATAACAATATAGGATTAAGAGGGACATTACTCAACAACACTCAAATTGACCTTAAATTGTTTTGAACACACAAGTTAGTGGGGAAGTTCATTATATTTTCCTATAGGGGTATTACCTTTGCAGTGAGCATACGGCATGGTGATGACATACTCCTCATCTCTTCCCAGGAACAGGAGCCTGGCTTTTCCATCCAGAATAGCTGACAGAGAGTTACCTACAATAAAGAAGCACAAGAATAACATTTCCTTATAAATCCCCGTTATAAAGATTATCCCGACAGACCTTGAAGCAGAACCACATTGTTTTGTCCTTGCATGACTTTGAAATGTGTGAATGTGTTTTGGTCGCACCAGACAAACAGATTACATATTGTAGTGTGTTGTGTACCATAGAACTTGGACTTGGCCAGGATGCTACCACTGATAGAATAACCGTCCTTCCTATTGCAGATATAAAAGGCAGAGATGGGCGGATGGTGGGACACCTGGCAGAAGAAAGAGAGAGCCATGTGAGCAACAGTGTGAGAAAGGAGTCAGATACCCTCTGACAGCTAACATGTGTAAAAATGACACAAAGCAATGGTGTGCATTTCAACTATTCTAGGAGTGAAGCTGGTTTTTACCTGTTCAGCTATGTAGAAAGTGCAGCTGTCGGTTTGAGGATGAAGCCAGCAGCAGCGAAACGTTTCCCCCAGGATTGGGTTGTAAGGCTTCTTTAGACCCTGAAATGCAAATACATACATACACTTTGGTATCAGATTGAAAACGTGTACAGCATTGCAGGGAGAAGGCCCTGTGGATGTTCCAATACTGATTAAAGGTTACAGAGGTTGTTAAGCATTTACCCATCCACCTTCAGGGAACTTCCTAGATTTAGTTCTACCAAAGCATGTTGAGCCGGCCCAGTTTAATCTACAGGCCTTAGCTGCAGGCTCATGATGGGTGATTTTGCTGCCACTGAGAATATAAACTCCTAACGAGTAGAGAGAAACAAGCTTCTGCTGTCAGTTTCATTGCACAAATCGACCCAGGGCAGTCGTTTGTGGGGCAAGCCAAGAAAGCACAGAAATTGATGTCAGAGGATGTGAAGCCAAAAAAAGGGCAGTCTAACTGCAAACACAAAGAGAAAATCTCCCAGGGCTCCTAAAATGACTGCTTCCAAGTGAAACTGAAAAAGCTGAATGGAGAAATAAACAGAGTGCTTTGGCTCTGGTTACTGCTGAAATAGTCAAATGGAATTTGATAGACCCCTAAGCTGTAGTTTTTCTACGTTTACCCTATTTTATTTAGTAATACTAAAGAATTCAATGGAAAAGAAGTAATTATTTTGTTTGTGTCAGATCTTTTTCACGTAACTATACTTAGAGGTACATATGGTATAGCTGCCATCATCATCTCTGAAATGTCAAAAACAGGTGCCTCTTTTAATCAAGAGTCTCCAATATGATGGCCACAACAAGCCATCTGGTAAAATAGTGAAAATAAATCTTACCTTTGGCTTCTTGTAGAAACCAGACAAGTACCATCTCAGCACCTGCTTGATCCGACCATATGCGCTCTCCTCGAGTGCAGCTCTGTGGCAAGAGAGATTGTAAATGAGACAAAACAATTCTAACAAGTAAAGCAGACATAATAAAGCTTGTCTTTATCAGACTTTTAAGGAAAATGCTCAAATGTGTGCACTCTTATGGACAGACACACAAACAAGGTATAGTGACTTTAAGTGACTGACTGTGAGAGCAGGTCAGCGTGGTAGTAGTAGTCAGACAGCTTGTCCAGGAAGGAGCGGGGCTCCAGGATGAAGGTGGGCAGCACCACCTTGGACAGATCCATGCCGGGGCGCAGCTGTTTCAGCAGGGTCCAGATCAGACCCTTGTTCTCCTCTGATACAGTCTCTACCTGGGACGCCTCCCCAGCCTGAAGTAACAACAGAGAGACATGAGCGAGGAGACCTTATTGGTTAAACTTTGGTCAGAGTCCTGGGTTGAGACACCAGGGACATGCACTATGAAGGACATCCCTGAAGTATTACAAACATGGCTTCAGAACACAAAGGAATACCCAAATCTTCAAAACACTGAATATGCATTTGTTTTTGCCTTTTTTTATAACATTAGAGCCTGCTGTGAGGGATCTGTAACTTAAACAAAACATGGCAGAGCTTCCTTCATAAAAGATGTAATGGTAAACCCACCTCAGCCATCTCCTCTGTGCTCTGCTCCACATAGGCTGTGGCCTGTGGCCCGGGGGACAGCTCGTCTGATTGGTCCATGTCGCTCTCTTCTGTCACCCTTCCACCGTTCTCATTGGCCGCGGTGTACCAGTCATCGTGAGTCTCGCGCTCCGATTTGTCTGAAAAGCCGTCATGCTCCATGTGGTGATTGCCCAGCAGCACAGTATCATTTAACCTAATGGCAAAAGAAGAGAACACCAAGGTTAGAATTATAATAAGCCTGATATTCAACAGTTTTACTGCTACTGCAGCATAGAAGAGGATTTCCTCGTCTGGAAATGATGTAATCAATTACATATGAAGAATAATCACAGGATTTAATGAGGCAGTTCCCTTGTAAAATAAATGTGTGTATTGATCTTTGACAGGTTGTATCTTAATCAATTTAAACTGGTGTCATGAGTGGCTCTTACAATGCCAGCATGTCATTACATGGGAGCATTCAATTAGGGGAGGAAGCATAAGGGAGTTAATGACCGTGGTTAGACATTAAAGAAGAGTAACATTGCATAACATCACAAAAATCTTATTTAAATATAGTTGAGTGCTGTCAAAGCTTTTATGATTAGCTCATCAGTAAGGCTGTCTATAAAAACCTGTCACAGACTTGTGAGAAAGACAGAAATAACCCAAAGTGAACTTTAAAGGCTCTGAAGGGCCTCTAAATGTTTATTGAATCTGTAATCGAACCGTTTCGTCCCCACGGCTGTGCTCCTCATTGCATTAGAGATTATCAGATAAATAAAACTGGCAGGGCTGGATGTATTCAGTAAATCTGACCTACTGGTTGCCAGGACAACTAGGCCACTCCCCATTTATTTGGTCTGAATGTGGCTGGCCAAAAATGAGGGGACACATGCTGTACATGTATGCAAAAACATGCATATTTAAGAGATACAAACTACAGCTTATGCTTTGGAATATGGAACTTTTCAGTCTTGGAAACATCAAAACCAGATCTTACATCTGTCAGCACCGAAATAACCAGAGCAAAGTTAAAAACAGAAAGGGGAACTGATTTACGGAGTCATGAATCAGCTTGTAAAAAAATCCAAGGAAAGGAGAAGAGAGAATAACAGAGGGAAAAAGGGACAGACGGGGTGAAATCAATCTAATAGGGAACATCATGCTTCCAATCCTACAGCCATTTTACAAGTCAGACAGTGGACGTCTGTGTGTTGTGGTGGGGGCCTGTCCCGAAACACATTCACAAGGACACATATGTAGAGACAGAAACGAAAGCAAGTGCAGATCTTATCCCTACTATGTGTTGCTATTTCACAATACTCCACATGATCAAACACAGTCAAACACAAGGGCAGTGGAAGATAATTGCAGTGTGTGTCACGAGCTCTCACAAACACATTCACAGAAGGGATTATGGTTACAGAAAACAAGGAAACAGATTATGTGCACAAACAGCAGCGCAAGGGAGTTCAAATTTCAAAAAGCCTGCGGGCTCGACAGACGAGAACAGTCAAATTCCTGCGCACTCTGTGGATCACTGACTGAGCACTGATGTTATATATTAACCCGAACACGCCCTGGAACAGAGGCAGCTTTCCTTACCTCAAAGACATACAGAGAAACAGACAACTCTTCCTCAGCAGTCAAATAACCATCGACGGAAATCCAAACACAAGCCCAGTCTGTCGTTATCTCATCTCCTGTGCGTGCGTAAACCTTTTAGATCGATTTACTAAAACGTGCAGTTTAGTTTTTCCTCGACTCCAGCACAGCTGCTTCCTGAATGTGTGTGTGCATTTTTCTGTCTGTGTGCCAATGTATTTGTGTGTGAGAATGTGTGTGTGTGTGTGAGCTTGCAACGGCTGTGTTGCTTCCGTCTCTTTCTGGGCGGTGTATGATTCTCATTCTATCTCATCTTCCTGCTCCTTTGACAGTCATGTGATAGGGTGGGCTGCTGTGATTGGCTGGAAAAGGAGCAGGAGAGGGGGGGGGGGCTGGGGTGGATGGCCAGAGGGAGGGTAGAGCCATGGAGGAGGGGAGGGATGTCTAATGTAGAGTGTAAACAGCACACAAACTGCGACGCACACGTATTAAATGGGAAAATAAATCGTAAATAACAACATGTATAAAAAAATGCAACAATGTCAAACGAGATTGCATTTAAAAATGCGCCTCTGGCAGATCATTGTATAGCTTTATTGTTACACAACAGTTGTCAACGGTTAATGGGTTGACAAAGTGGAGCACGCACTTGCACAACATAAACATTATTTTCTCCCCCTGTATTTCTACTGATCACATTAATAGGAGTCAGTAAGGCCGATCTTTAACTAGTTTCACAGTGTGACCGTATACCCTATCCCAAACAAAGATTACTGACTAGGACAAATTAAGATTGACACTGCACCTATGACACATTTTCATCTATGAATGACAACACCACTTAAAAAAAACACCTACATTTTCTTTAAGCCATCACTTTTCTATTTGTATCATAAATAGTATATACACCCATTAGGCTTAGCTGGAAATGTACGTTTGGCTCAACTTCACTGATAAATAAAACAGTGGCAGACTCATTTTGGCACAAGAATGCTATATTTAGATTCTGTTTGGAGGGAAGGCTGAATCAGCTCCAATAAATAAAGAAGCTACAGTAGCTTCCTCACCAAGGCGCCGAGAGCAGATCGTTTTTAGAAGAGTCTTCAAGACTAAATGGAAATCAAACTATAAAGCAAGAAATCTTTGTCCGTCTGTAATGTGAAGAAACATTCCTAAGGATGTACGTTAAGACAACCATGAAGCTTAAATTACGATTTGTATTTACGATGATACAACTTTATTCATAACGAATAACAAGTCCGCTGCAGCGAATAACTCAATGCTGGTTAATGCAAGTAAGGATTCCGGTCACTAACACAATCACACCTCCTTAAAAGCACGGTAACAATTCATCTATATTAAGTAAAGAGCAATGGCAGATGTTATTGCCAGCCAAATGGTGCCTTTAAATGTTGATGCCGCGATAAATTGATTGTTGTTTTCTTTTGGTAAAGGATGATCCATTGTTCCTTGTGCTAAGGAAGATAAGAAAGGATTGAAGCACCTTTCTTTAGCATTAATAAAATTCAGCTCCTATCAAGGCCGCCACTTAGATACTGGGTAATTTCACTCAGTTAAGAACGTTCCTAAGCAAAAAAGACTTTTGGTGGCAGACAAGACATTTTCAAACTGATAGATCTTAAAGAGCCACTCACTTTGTTGGCACACTGAACAGAGTGTGTGAAAACTGGTCTGCTTGGTAGCAAGGCAAACAGAGTGATGTTCCTCCTCCTCCTTATTAGAGCTCTGACTCAGCTCACCTGTGCTGTGTAGTTTACTCTAGACAGCACAGGTGAACCTCGTTCCTCCTCACACAGTTCATCAGAGACAAGTCAACAAGTTTATATTACCGTTTGGATTATGTATATTCCTGTAACTCTTAGTTTTATGGCATTGTGTTACTGTGTTGGGAAAACCAAAGACAGACTTATGTCTAAATTAATTTGTTCAACAATCATTATGTCTATGACACAATTTTAAAACTAGCTAACAGCAAACCGGGAGAAGTTTCCTGGGAGCAACATAAGTATATTGATTGACTATGTCCTTGTGTTATAACTTGCACTTTTTTTGCATTTTAAATGATTAGAGGTTAGACATAGACACAACTCAAGAGTCTCAGGTTATCCAGGAGGCAGTTTTCTAGTGTCCAAATAGGTAGCATGCAATGTATACAGTAAAAACATTACGTTTGACATGCTCCCTTTCAAATATACACAAGGCACTGCATGATCTCAAATCGCACTTGTGGTTTGTAAAGCGTTTAACAAACTAAATCATTTCACAAGGATGGTGCACCCCACGTTTCTCCAGCTGCTATTTCAAGTTGATTAGTGAGAACCACAGAGACTATATTTTAGACCTACCAGCTGGGAGTTTCTCAGTGCATAAATAAGACAGCACAAATGTGTTTGGTGGAGTGCCAAGAGTCTTGTGAGTGAATTGGCAAGCGCAACAACTTGGGAGTGTGATTACAGAAAACACTAATCATTAAATGACAACAACAAGAAAGTGTAAGATGGAGATAAACTATATGCGAGATGTTTTCAGTGTATGCAGCTGTACAGTATGTACTTACTGTAGCAGCTCTGCATCGGTGAGTGTGGAGGACTGCAGCAGGTGGAGTATGTGAGAGGAGTCTGAGGATGTGCTGAACTCCCCTTCCTTCCCGCCTTTGGCTGTCAGCTTGTAGAGACTGGAGCAGCTGAGAGCTAGCTCCAAAGCATCCATCCAGCACCGGCCTGATGAGACGGGAAAGAGCGCCTTCAATAAATGCTTGTAAAAATAATTAATCAAAAATGCTAGATATACACAAGCACAATTCAAACTGAAGCAAGGACATACAAGCCTCACCATCAGACTCAGACGCAGCTCTGAAGATCAGGTAGTTGCTGGGTAGCGGCTGCGTGATGGAGCCAACGTTCTCTCCTTTGGGACCCTGAACATAAGGATGAAACGATGAGTCACGCTTCATGCCATTTTAGTCATGTTTTACCAACAGAAGCAAAAGGGCTATATGCATAATAGAGCACTGAAGACGATAATTGTCACTTAAAAATGAAAACTATTGGGTGAATACAAATGAAAGGTTACACTTACAAGAAGAGGCTAGTCTATTTATAGAGCACATTTCACAGAAAAGCAATCAACATATCAAATGCACAGAAATGAAATACGGTTACTGATAACATTGCTTTTGTTTTAACCCTGGAGTGCATTAAGCCCTGATTTTTCATTTGGCACAACTAAACCAAATTTGTATTTAAAACTCCAGTCATGACAACTACAAAGCCCCCTTCAAAGTCTGTGTTGTTACAGCTGAGCCAACAAACATGTCTGACCTTGACAGCCCAGATGGATTTGTCCAGCGGGTGGTAGAGCTTGAAGCAGAAGCCGTCCTTCTTGGAAGGTCTCTCGATCAGCTTGCACGCACTGAGCAAGATGGTGCCCACCCAGTGGTCCGATTTGGGGGTCTTATAGATGAGAAGAATTCCTGGCTTCAGGGCACACCACAGCTTGGTCCAACTCTTTAAAGAGCCACGAATCTAAAGGACAAGAGAAGAGAAAGGGGGACATGTTAGTATCAGAGCATAATGCGAGCACAAGAAATATGATGTTGTTACAGGATTGACTTGCAAGGTGCTAAAAGGCACACTTTGTTTGGAAATTACTATTACAATGATGATCAGCAAAGAGCATTTATGGCAGAAGATACAAAGCCTGAATATGTTTCTAAATATTTGTATTATTCTTGATGTCAATGTAGTAGCTTCGTCTTATAGAAACCCCCCCCCCCACCTTTAGCCAGTCGGACATGATGACAACACTGGGGTCCTTCAGTGCAGTGAACAGTTCTTTGGCTGCCCGTTTCTTCTCTTGTCTGTAGTTCTGCTTTTGAACCTGTGAAACAGAAAAAACAATGACACACAGATGAGTCATCAATGGTTACTGCTCAGAGGACTGATCTGAGGGTACCAACACTAGGTGGAAGCAGAGTCAACTAAACACTAGCAACCATGCTCTCAGTGTTCATTAACAGGATGTATTGTTGATCATTTGACACATACAAGAGGGTACACATTTAAAATAACAATAAGGTTTTCGATGGTACATTTATTTCACTGAGTTTAGACGGACAGATACATGACCTGCCCTTTAACAGTATTTCCAAACTGCATGATAATGCTTAAAATGTTTCACAACTGTGAAGGTTTTGATGTTTGTGTACCTTGAGAGACTCCTTCCGGGCCAGCTTCTCTGTGGGGGAGGGGCACTCGACACCATTAAACATCCTGGACTCAGACTGGGGGAGGGAGGGAGGAGAGGAAACAGTCAGTTTGGATAAAGAAAAGGGAGAAACTACGCAAGAACACAGCAGAGATTCTAGAACTGCATTTTTAAATGTATTATCATTTAAAAAGACATATCACCCAAACAATACACAGTGAGCTCTTGTGATATAACCCCACACGTGCCAAGACTTGCTTTCTTCTTGAACCCCACATTGATTTATTCTTCCCTTAGCCACGTAGCTCATCTGATCTGCCACAAGGTTGTATGAAGCAGGCGGGTGGCCCGTTTCAAAGCAGCTGCTAGTGTGACCACAAACCCACTAACTTCCTTGGTTAGACATCAAAGGGCCCTTACTGTTTGACGGGCTCCACTGATCAGAAGGGATTAGAATCTCAGTGTTAGATTTTGCTGCCGTTTCTCAGTTTAATTGCATAACCACTTGATCTGAATGCCCTAAACAAATAACAATCACAATATTTTTTGGTGAGCCCACACATAACTTAAGTCTTATCTTGATGTGTTAAAAAAGCCATTCTTAAAAGCGTAGTACAATATAACAACGCTGTGTAAATGATAACATGCAAGTGTTAAGGCAGTGCTCAGTCTCCTATTGTCCCATGAGGGCTTTGAGAATAGAAGAGAGGGCAAAAGGCCACAGATGCAGCTGTGCCTGTCAATTATTCCACATATAAATAAGCAATATTGCGGTGCGAGGCGAAGCAACAAAAGGAGAGGAAACAAGACAAAATGAGATTGCCCAGTTGCCAGTGGAAACATTGAATTACCACTCTTAATTAGTATTACTAAGGAATGGAAACAGAGTGTTAGAACTAATGCAACAAAGGCAGCACCAGGACATTTAGGGTCTGGGTAAAATACATGGCATGTGATGCTAAAGACACAGTTCCCACCATGGCCACGACAAGTTCAATCCCAAAGCTTTGGTGCAGTTCCTTGACTTAAATAATGTTATTAATTCCTCGTTGGGTATTGCCGATTCTTGACAAAAGTAATCCTTCTGGTTTCCATTTCAAATCCACAGATGTGACAGCTTTGTGTATTTTATGAAAAAAATGTAGGTTTGTCTACTTAGGATCTGTACTGCAGAGGAAAATAAATCATCGTAGAATACAAAAGGAAAGAAGCTCACCTAATGAGTCAGTTAGATTGAGCTGCCCAATCAGTAACTGTGTTCTTACCTTGCTGCCTGGTGATTGGGCAGGACTAAGTTCATTACTCAGCATGGAGAGACCGTTCCTGTCTGTGTCACTGCCTGGTGGGAACCCACAACACACAGTCACATACAAATGTGAATAAATCTGCGGACAGACAATTAAAGCAGGGCAGCCACACATGCAGATAATAAGCCGCAGCTGAGGTGTGTCACAGTACACCATCATTTCACACACACTGGATTCCAGTGGCACACACCTGGACTATCATACTTTGTGACATTTACATTTCTGTTGTCAGTTTTTAACCTCTTGGTACCTGAGCTGAGGTTGTAGAGGTCGTTGTCTCCTCCATAAGACAGGTTCCGAGTGAGGCTTCGGGGGTCAATTTTGGGTGGGGAGGTTGCGTTGGGGCACAGAGAAAACCTCCGATGGAACAACTTCTCCTCCTTCATCCTGACAGCCTGCACGTCCTATACAGGGGAAGAGGGCAGAGAGGAAACAGGAAGGAAATGAAGGAGGAAACGGAGGAAAGGAAGAAAGAAAACTATGATTAGAACACAATTTTCAACACAATTTTTGCACACATTTCTTCATCTATTATTAGGCTTTAAAAACAATACAAGTGATTCATCCTGTCCTTGCAGCTTTCTTCTATCGAATATAATTGGATTTGCTCCCTCGCCCTGCGTCACCATCTCTAAAGCTCTTATTCTTCACCCTCGCTCCTTCTCTCTCTGTGTATATATATTGGTCTGTCTGGACCCCCGCCCTTTCTCTCCTCTCCAACACTAACAAAGACCTACTGTACGAGGACATGTCAGCCTGTCTACATAATAGCACTGTGCGTGGCAGTGACAAGCAGATCAGTCTGCACATTGTTAGTCTATATGACGGTCAGTGTCTCTAAACAACTTCAGTCACTCAGCTACAGAGACTCAGTGTTCAACACAACTCCCACCATCATTGCCACAAATCCTCCATCCTCCCTGTCGGCCTGCCTCAACAGGGCATTGCTCGCTTCTTCAGTAAATCCCTTGATATCCACAAGGATTGCCATTTACTTATAATATGCACATCTCGGCACACAAAAGGGGCCACATGCAGCTCCTGCAGATGTGGGCCGGATCATGCTGAGACTCTGCAGCTTAATGTCGTTATCTTACAACAAAGAGAGGTTTAGTCAGATTTAAGACTACAATGCTTATAAAAACACAAGTAGGCATGGGATGACTATCCTGGATAAAACAATTACCAGATGTGCCTCATTCATTCAAATATGCTCCTTAAACGGCTCTTAAAAACACACTGGAAACACTTTTTTGTGGAGTAAACATCCTGTGTTGTGTAAAAATCAATCTTAAAAAGTAATCATAGATCTTAAGCGTCCCCTAAGAATAAACAAAGGATACAAATAAATAGCAACATTAAGTCAGTCTGTCTTTTTTCTAACATGGTCATTTATTTGTGTATTTCAAAAAGATAATCATTATTGTTTATTTGATCATGATAATTCACTCGACAGCTTCTCTATTAACTGAAAATACCATTGTGATTACGTTTTTAATCATGAGATATACAAACAAATCCTATATCCCATCCCTTCATAAAAGACACCAAACGGGTCTTTGAATAGGCCTACTACAGTAAACTAGAGACAAACACTGTGTCAAGACTTTAAGCCTCTGTAAATCTTTGTGGATTTAATGACAGGCATGTTTATCTTCTTTGACACAAAGAGCCACAATGACGTTGCATTACTTTGCCCGGTTTCTCTACCATCTCTGGTGCCTTGTTTTCTCCTCTGCTGAGCTATTTAACGATTGAGGTAGCAAACTATTGTTAGCACGTTATCAACAACTGCTGAGGGTCACGGCTGTTTCCAGACAGATTTAAACAGTACGCTGGTTCAACTGGGTGCTGGGCTGATCAGAGCAAACCAGAGCTGACGGTATACTGCTGAGGTTAATGGGGCGCAGCTGTTACCACCTGGGTCTGTCTGCACGGCCACACTGCTCTCCGCTCTGATCAATATAATCCCGTTCATTTTCTTTTAGTGCACAAACACAGTAGACAAGTCCCACTGTCTCCCAGCCTACAGAGCAGTCTCGCCTACGAGCCATCAATTATAATAACCTAGAACAGTGCGTTACATACAATTCATTCATAGAATATTTTCACAGACTGATTCATCGTTCAGCTCTCCCACACCATTCAACTGTGATTACTCTAGTGCATGAGGAATGTGCCGTTCGCTAAGGTGTACGTACTGGTAATTGATGGAAATAAAACCTGTGGGTTGACAAAGGCTTATGCTTGAAATTCAAATTGAAAACAGCATGAAGTGCTTGAGGACCCTGGCAGTTAACAAACTGTACCCTCCCTCTGCAAGTACCTAAAGTCTATGCACATATTAAAAATACACATCTGTATACACGCGCACCACTCCCTGCCTTCCTCCTTGTTTCACCCTGCCTCTGTGACTCATTCCCTCAGCCTCCTGACTCCCTTCTCATTTCTGATCTTCTGTGCCTTTCTTCCTCCTGCCCTCCACTCCTTTGTCCAAAGAGGCTGCTCTGAACAACCAAGATATGAGAGAGGAAAAGGAATATTATTTCTTATTGAAAAGGAGGATATTTTTCCGTCCTTGTGGAGCAGGTCTATAAATAGCTTTCTGATGCTGCAGTGCATGTCTGCATGTGTAGGAGAGTGCTGGGAACCCTGAGTGTGATGCAGGCTTTGTGGAAAAGAGCATGAAGCTTTGAAATGACACCACGGTACCTGCAAGGGGCGGCCAAACTGTATCAGGAAAGTCACACGTGGAGAATTAGTACCGCGTACAGTGCAGGCCCTAGGGCGGGTCAAGATGTGGGCAGACGTGCAGAGCGACGAGACAGACCAATCACAGCTGGTTGTCACATCTGCAGGGCGGAGATTCGCTGGAACTATGTGTGTGAGCATGTTACGCAGTCTAGACTGAGCATGGGTGTGGAATCCGCGCATGCTTCATGTGTTCAGTTTTGCGTGTGGGCCTGTCAGTTGAGACTAAACAGAAGCCATTCCACTGGTGATTGTGTGGAGTTTGTTGAGTGACGTAAGCATAATAAATGAGTGTGTGGATGTGCATACGTGGCCGTGAGTGTATGTGTGTTGCTGCAGACTAGAGGGAGGATTACACATGAGAAAATGCTCATCCCGGGTCTCAGCAGCAGTGGCAGAGCGGGCCACATTGAGTGTGCATTACTCACAAACACACATATGTGAGTGCACAGAACCAACACCAGCAGTTGACCAGAGAGATACAATCTAACAACATCAGAGATCTATTTTATAAAATCACACTATAATTAACAATATTTGCTTCATTGCAATACTGCTATTCGTGAGTATGTTAAAAGTTTAAGGCGACAGAAAATAATATTTAATACTTGATTTTAACACAATGATTTCAAGTACAAATATATTGAAAAAATGAGGGTACTGTATCATCTGAAGTTCAGTAATGGCCTGCTTACAGATTAAAGAGAAGATAAAGTGTGTGTGATTGAGAAAGTGTTACTGTGAAGGGAAGCATTACTGAACATGAACAGCAAAAGGACATTCAGATTTAACAGCGTGCCTAAAATCAGTATATAATATATATATTATATGTATGCTGGTAGAAAGGTGTTTTCAAGATTCATGATTATTTAATATATTGACAAAGGAGAACATATAAAAGGGATCCTGTGCATTGGCAATCAAGGACAAATTCAAGCAGTTTTTTGCTTCTCTAAGCAGCCACTGTAACTTTTAACTGACCTTCAACTAATACTGAAACACAACATTTAATATACTAAACCTCCACTCTCACAACTCACTCCACAATGCACATAACCTTTGGCAAGCTAGGCGAACCTAGACTCAATCTACAACTGCCAATGCGAGGCAGGTGCTCAGCTAATATTTACCCAGTGATAGGAACGACTTGTGAAAAGATAACGGCAGCAGGGCAGTCAATAACACACATTCCTGTGTCACACATTAACCTTGAACTATGAAAAGTAGGAGGGGTAAAACACAACAACAACAAAAAGTGTCTGACCCACAGTTACCTTGTTGAGGTGAAAGCACGTCTTGCTGTCCCATGGGGCATGCTCGTTTTTAGTAATCATTTCACCAACTGGGAGGAGGAGGGAGGGAAAGCAGAGCGAGGAGTCATGTTGACATGTTCTAACCTGTATGTTGTTAACATGCTTGACTGAGATAACAGGCATAATGCTCTCTCAGGGACACACAAGGCTGGGCTGGGGAAAGAGTGGCTGACAGTTACCATGGCTAGTCTGTCTGAGGGCCTGTGTGCACAAGGTGCCATTTTCTGGTAGAAAGGTGCTGGGAAGAAATCCCAGTGCTTTTTTATTGTTTCTATGACGACCATTTCTTGGCAACATACTACCACTGTTGTATGACAGACTTATTAGACTAAAACTATATCTTTGTGCTACCATATATTTGTTTGACATTATTTTTTCAGCAAAAACACCCACTGTAAGATGCTTGTTCTTACACTGGGTCTAAATGAACTGCTCAGTCTGACAGCTGTAGAGTAAGGAGGAGATGAAACACTAACCTACAGAAATACTCTGCGTCTGCCTGTACGATCCTCTCAAACAACAGGCTTTTTGGTCTTTATCATGATCGTTTTTGTCCCCGCTAATGATTAGGTTTCTGGCACTTTACTTCAGTTTGTTTTAATCATTCTCATTGGAATCAACTGAAAGAAATGTCGGGGATGCATATCGTTGACTTTTGTACGATACCGATACCACTGAACGATACCGATACTCAACCGATACATATCGTGATACTTTGAAAATGTATCATCCCACAATTACTCCCATGAAGCGCTTTACGATATAGTTAACATGTCAAATGAATATTAAATTCAATTGTGGGACTTCTTGGACCTTTTAGTACTGAACAAACAATAATGAAGAAAACCGATTATGGAATATCTTTTAGAACACCCGCCATCAGATGTGCCGTGTGAATAGCACATCTTGTCAATGCAAACAGACGTTATAGCACCGTTATAATTAATGTTAAACCTGAGATTCGACAAGAGAACTAATACATAATAGAATAATGGTCATGAGATCTCGGCATTGCACAAACAAACAAATCTCATCTTTAAAATCAACATTTACCTTCACTGGTGAGAGAAAACAAATCCCATCACAGTTCATTTGTGGGACTTTTACCTTTCTAGTATTGAACAAACAATGAAAAATACATAAGATATGAAGAAAAACGATTATGCAATCTAATTTATAACACCCGCCATCACGGGCCACGGACTCACTTTTAAAATTAATTAAAACAATTTTTATTTATTTTTTTAAAGTATCGAAACCGGATCTGATTTCGGTACGGTATACCGTAGCCACCAGTAACCGGTATTTCGGTAATACCGGATACCGGTATGCATCCCTACCTCAGAAGAGGCAACATGTGGATATGGGCCCTTATTATAGATTATTGCTAGAGAGGACTAAAGTTACACATTATCTAAATCCACAACCCTGAAATCAACAAAAAAAACACTGCCTGAAAATCTGCCTGAGAGACAGTTTACTCAATTGATTGAGTACACATTCACAGCACACTGGAGCAGCTGGGAACATGGTGTTGTGTTGGGTTTAAGTTGTCTACCGTCCATTACTGTGCTAACATTCTGCCTCAACAACTCTGCACTATATCAATGTTTAGATTATTAGATTAAAGTAAAAATAGTGATTAAAGCAGCACTGCAGGAGCTACTGTGGGTAAACGGTTTTACACTAGTATGGTGTGAAAACTGAACCAAAAAAACAAAACAATATAAATGAAAGTAAAAAATAAATTGTCCTCTTGTAAAAAAAGATTTCCACAGATGCTGTCAACCTGTCAACACTACTGCTTTTTAAGGGGGAAGTGTCATATAGAGTTCAGGATCCCTGATATAGAAGGCATGTTGTCCCCTCACTCCATCCCTGTCAACTACTCTTTAACATCTCTTTTACCCATGTGGTGTTCTAGTAGCATCACAGCTATGAGTCTAGTAAAAAGCTAGCTTACATGAGCAAATAACATTAAGAGTTTGAGAGAAGAAGGGACAATGTAACCCCCCCACCCCCCTGATGCCGGCAGGCGCACAACAATGCAGTCAATTTTCAAAAGGGCTGTGAAACATCTTCATCCAACTCCATTATGGGATTTCATCATGCATATTCCTAATTCAACAAGTTTGCCCTGACTGATACACTTTTCACGGATTTAAAATGTACAGCGAGACACATATTTAGTATAAAAAAGATTGCACAATACGGGAATAATTATATAATATGCAAATTAAAAGACATACATTTAACCAAATGTCTTGTGGTCTTGACTAGAAAACTTGTAATGGGCAAACTGCAAAATCTGCTAAGCTTGAGTGTGCAAGTGTGAGAGCCTTGTAATTCTGACAGGCATCATCAAGCCAGCTGTTGCTAATATGATGGCCCAGATTAAGTCCAGACACTCTCTTCATCCTTCCATCACTCCCATCTGTCCTCCCTGAGCACCCCCAACCCCGTTATCCCCCGTCTCCAGTGAAAGGACTAATGGATGGCCCTATGACCTAGATATACACCAATAGGCACACCAAGTACAGTATGTGCATCAACAATGAACTCTGCAACATACTGCAGCACTAAGACCACTTGTTTTTCTTCAAATGGAACCGTAGGGAGTGGGGATTCACACACAAGCAAGATGTGTTCTTCCATTTGCTTAAGTGCAGTGCATTTCAACCACTGCAGGATTGCTCACAGACATAGTTACTATCCTTACAATATCCACATGTTCGGTTGGCTTGATTATTTCCTCAAAAGAAACGGGATATAATTTGTCATCTACTGACATATCCTGTAAAACATGTAACTATTGTTAAGAAAAACAGTACACCTCACTAAAAAACGAACTGACACCTATATTAACATGTACTGTATCTCTCAGATAAAATGCATTCCATTTTAGCCTGATTCATAACAGAGCAACACACATCTGAATGGTCATTCAAATAAATCTTGCAAAATACAATTGTACACACTGGGCCTAGCGTCAGTCCCAATGAATGCCACGAGCAGGCATAGGCAATAGAAATATTTTAAGTGAGTGTTACAGCTGTTGTCCTGACTAAGAAATGGGAGAAGTAGCCTTAGAAACTGAGATCTAAAACAGTTCTAACTACATTAAAACTGCAAACAAATCTAAAGCTATGACTACTGTGTCTAGAAGGACACGAAGGAGGTAGAACTAGGTCAGCTGTTACCATTTAAAAAGGAGGCTAAGTTTGGGACTCTGTGGGAGGATGTGTGGTTTAGTTGTTCTATTCCAAGTCTTGCGGGGGGTGCGAGTATATTTTAAGAAACTTAAATGGAGAAAATGCCTTCCAGACAGAGTTCCCATTTGATCTTACTTCAAATAGGAAACTCCCTTTCTTGTGTGAGGTCCGTTACAAAAGTAAACCTTCACTCCACGTATACCTTAAGGTCACAATCTTCTCCGTGCTATACCCAGCATGCACCTCCCAGATGCTGCAATAGCATCTGGGAATAGTAGACCACGTTCCTAGTAGGGATGGGAATTTGAAAGCAAATGTATATTCGAATATTCGACCCCCCAAAAAACGGTTAACCGAAATGTACATATGCTATACATTTTTTTTTTTTGTACCCAATTTTTTTTCAATAATTTTTGGAAGCAAATACATACATGTTCAAATAAGTGTAGAAACCAAGTCGAATTTGTCAAATGTATTGAACTGGTGATCACAGTTTGACAGCTATAGGCCTACAGCTTTCATGTGGAGGCGATTCACAATCAGCCCAGCTGTAGAGAAGACCCTCTCAGCTGGAACGGAGGTTGCGGGTATAGCAAGGTATAGCATGTATAAGTTTAATTTGGCATAGTTTGACCTCTACACCGCACTCACTAACCTGGTCGAAATATTTCCACACATTACTCCTTTTTGACGCTATGTCTGTTGTGTAGCACTCTTCTTAGAGTGTAAATAATTACCGGACTATGACTGGTAAAATATGTTGAATACCGGCAAAACTAAATCTCCCCAGTCAAAATGTCTATGTACTTTGCCGCCACACACGGTTGCCAAGCAGCGCTTATTGTTGTTTAGGCTGGCCACTCATGTGTCGCGAGTGTTGACAGGGGGCGGGGGAGCACGCTCATGAACCTCGCAACTGCTGCGGTGCTCATTTGCGCCGCATTTGGGCATAAGATGAGGTTTGAGTCTGCGTGATCTGCGTGTAGGGAGGGGCAGCAGCCATATCATTGGCTAGAACTAGCTAGATCTGATGGATTTGGACATAAACACGAGTGAAGTATAACCGGACGCGAGAGAGAGAGATCAGCACCTGCAGCTCTGCCCGCTGTGAGGGACCGGTGTGCGGAGCAAAACACACCTTTACACGTCAACTAACACATTTAATTGAATAACATTGAATTATTCAATTTGATAATATGTAATCAACTTAGGCATCACTCATCAATCCCAAAAAAAAAATGTAAAAAAAAAAATGTGTAAAAATATTCATAACTCATATTCGAATACATGAATAATTATTCGAATACCTGAATAATTTCGAATATTCGATTAATCGTTCCCATCCCTAGTTCCTAGTCCATGAACCTCTATTAACTTACTTTAGGTCTAGCTCATTTGATGGGGAATTTCAGCTTGTATGTAGTCCAGGAATGTTGTGCGAGGTTGTTTACGTTTTTGCTCAGCTGTGACCTGAGTGTGGGGGGGGGGGTGCCTTCACTGTTCAATGTGTTTCAGGTTAGACTGGCAGGAGACACAACCTCACCGCGTACACACAGTGTCTCTGGGAACAGAGACGTGTGTCAGCGAGTAGGGAAAGAGCAAGGTAAACACGGACTGAAAATGAGACCTACGGTTCTCTACAAGGGGTGGGAAATGAGCACCGATTCCATTTCAGCAAAAATATTAACCAACATGTTTCTGAAAACAGAGCCAGAGATAGCTTTAAACATCTTTCTCTCTGGGTTCCTCTGCCTCTAGTGTTTGTTTATGTGTATTTTCTCCAATCATATCCCTACTTGAAGCAGACAACTTCCTGG